TTTTGTGTAAAATCACTGAAAGATAGGCGTCTTAGGCGAAAATTGACGTCTTAGGAATTTTGCGACAAACCTTTATTTATTAATTTAGAAAAGTTGTTCCAGATAAAAACCCCATTCTGTAATTATATTATCATTATTTATACATATGTATAAATACAACATTAAAAATAATTATCATGGTTTGAATCCTGCTCATGTTTGTATATTTATTTGATTACTATTTTAGCGTCAAAGTAGCTTGGCGAAGAAACGGCCGGCGAAGAAACAGCCGGCGATGAACCGGCCTGGCGTAGAATCGACCTGGAAAAGAACCGGCTGGCGATGAATCGGCGGCGTAGAAACGGCGGCGTAGAAACGGCGGCGTAGAAACGCCGGCGATGAAACGTCCTAGACCCTTCTAAATGATCTACTTGAACAAAACAAAAATAATGGGTTACCACAAATTTATTTGAAAGCATACAGTTTCAAAGTATGTCTACAATAAAAAACGAACAATCCTAAACGAACATATAGTCATTTCCAATAAAACATTTATACAATACAGTGTATAACTGAAGATTAACATAAATAGAAAAAGAGCATTGTTTAATAAATTTCTTTATTAATCATGCGAATTATTTATCTAAATTATTAGTTATTGTGAAATTACAGTGAATTACGGGTATAGTAGTTCACCCACGATGCGATTAGAAACATTGTCTCTAAACAGTGAGTAAAGTTAGTGATTCAGATTCCAGAACGCTTTGGATAAAGTATACTACCCACCACACGAAATAATGGTTAGCGCGCTTTTGTTTTGCATTCTGGAGCATTTTAGACATTTACACCGGGAAAATCCTTACTTTGACCTAGAAGACAAACAACTTGGCTTCTTCAGGCACTTTTACAGGAGAACCTGAAGTGATCTCAGATAATGATAAAAATGAAGGAGACAATTAAAACTCATTTCGGCTTTATAACCGTTTTAATTTTAAACTTTTAGTGCCGGGAATGTACAAATCATTATTAGTCTTTTCCATAGTGATGGCTAATACATTTCGAGGAGCTAGATGTCCACGATCTACGGCTGGCATATTTATCAGAACACTTGCATTAACAGGTGGGAATTTGCATTACGAGTGGGTAGGCGTTTTATCAGCTTTTCTCTCAATCCTCTATTTGTAATCTCTTCTACCTGTATTAGCTGCTTTTTTATTTCCATAGAGTTTGCATTATGGCAAATCCAAATTCTCACTATATTCCGCATAAAATGGTTTATTGCATCCAAGACAAACATTACGAACAAAATATTTAGTTATATTGAAATTTTCGTTGTCTAACCTTTTGCCGTTTGTATCATTTTCTGTTTCAGTCTCTTTTTAGGTTTCCATCCCTAGTTCCGATTCACCAATTTCAGCAGTATGTTTCTTGTATTCAGTATTTGCTTTTTCTGAAGACTGGATCGTTAATTTCAGATGCTCTTCCAGTTACGACGTGTCTAAGCATGTATCCAATAGTCAGTTTCTTGAAGAGTTTCAAATATGGCCCCATTGGGTTACTGAGTAGCAGTTACTGGGTATTATTTTACTACAAACGTCAGATAGTCTAATAACGTCTTGCCTTCAATGCGTTCTGAGTAAAACACAATCGCCAGAAAGCAACGTGGGCAAATGAAGAGCTCCACAGTGCAAAACAAATACGCATCAACCATTATTTCATATCGTATTATTTCTAATCGCATTGTGGGTAAACTACTTTACCCATAACGCGTTGTGGACAGAAAATTTGGACACTGGGTGATTTCGGCTACTGAGAATAACATATACACCAGTCTACAAAATGGTTGATCCATCGATGTATGTTCTAAGGGGTGTGGCTTATTCTTTGCTAATATATCGTGTACAGTGAATCCCAGCGGTCTGTCTGATCATGAAGCCGTTTTAGCTTCGATATCTCTTGAGCATAAGCTTCCTAAGACTAATTCTCGTCATGGTCGATTGTTTAGTAAATCTAATTATGGAAAATTTCATTTAGTATGTAAAAATTTTAATTGGTACAGTTGCTTTACTGGTATATCTCCTTTTAACGATTTTTATTTAAATTTAAGCAAATTTTTTAATGCGTCTTTCCTATTCAAAAAATAAAAATTAAGTCAAAAAAGCCGTGGATTACAGCTGGTTTAAGATGTTCATCAAAAAATATGAGATCTCTCAACTATATAAAAAAATTTACGCAAAATAATTTATTTTTAAACTATTATTATCGCTACAGATCTTTATATCGAACACTTATTAGAAAAGCTAAAGATATGTACTATCATACAAGAATCGAGAGCTCAAAAAATAAGGCAAGGGAAACTTGGTCTATTATTAATGAATTGAGAGGCAAAAGTACCCATAAATCATGCAATGCAAATATAAATCCTAACGATTTCAATACTTTTTATTGCAATATCGCTGAAAATCTAACAAAAAATCTAAATAGAACAACTGACCCATTAGAATTTGTAAAATCGTCACCAATTAAATATTCATTTTTCTTAAGAGAAACAAATTCCTCAGAAATATTAAAAGTTTGTAATGACATACACAACAAAACTGCATCAGGACATGATGGAATGTCAGTAAAAATATTTCAAACCTTACCTACCTCTGCATTAGACGTTTTATCCATTTTAATAAATAAAAGTTTTATTGAAGGTACTTTTCCTCCTTTTCTTAAAACAAGTGTTGTGGTTCCATTATACAGTGTGAAAACCACTTATGGAATAAAATTCTTTATGTCATTATTTTAGAAAATTGTAAAAAATGCCGAGACACGTCAACTTTTGAATTGAGTTGTGCGTTATGTAAACATAAATTTAAATGTACAGGGTGATTCACGCAAGTATGCCATAGTCGGTGTTGTTTTTTTTTTAATGAAACACCCTGTATATTTGCATATTTTTGAAATCCTCTTAATGAACCGATTCCAACAAACTGAATAATGTATGTATGCAAATATACAGGGTGTTTCATTAAAAAAAAAACAACACCGACTATGGCATACTTGCGTGAATCACCCTGTACATTTAAATTTATGTTTACATAACGCACAACTCAATTCAAAAGTTGATATGTCTCGGAATTTTTTATAATTTTCTAAAATAATGACATAAAGATTTTTATTCCATAAGTGGTTTCCACACTGTATAAGGGAGGAGACTTGACTGAGCCATCTAATTTTAGGCCCATATCTCTAATTCCGACACTCGGAAAAATTATTGAGAAACTTGTAAAAACTCGACTAGTTAGATATCTAGACCAAAATAATATATTGGACATAAATCAATTCGGTTTTCAACACAACAAAAACGTATCGGACGCTGTTTCTTCTTGTTTGGAATTAGCTTATACAAGTTTAAATTTCAACGAGGCCGTAGTTGCAGTATTTTGTGATCTGACTAAAGCTTTTGACTGTGTCAACCATGGAGTACTGCTGCAAAAGCTTGAAATTTATGGCATAAGAGATGTGGCCTTGAGTTGGATGAAATCCTACCTTTTAGGTCGCAAACAGTTAGTCCGAACTGTTTCAGACTCGAACACAAGTGACAAAAAATGGGGTGTCCCTCAAGGTTCTGTTCTTGGGCCCACCCTGTTTTTAATTTATATCAATGATTTAGTAAGTTAAATATCTCAGGAAGTTTCACTCTATTTGCTGACGATACTACTATCTTGTGGCACAATAAAGACGTCAATATTCTTTATGCAAATATTAGTAATGACCTAAAATCCTTTAAAACATGGTGCACTGCAAATTTTCTGTCATTAAATTTAAAAAAAAACAAAAATACTAACCTTTAAATGTTATGTTCCTGATATTTTAATAGATATGGATACTGTAGAAGCCACAAACTGTACAAAATTTTTGGGTTTAAATATCGACATGGATTTGAAATTCAAATCTCATGTGGATTCACTTTTAAAAAAACTCGCATCGGGTTGTTATGCCATTAGAACCACCTCTCATGATTTGGGAGTTTGTGCAGCAAAAACTGCATATTATGCGTTAGTTGACTCCCATCTACGTTATGCTGTTCAGTTTTGGGGAGTCTGTTCTGCCGAGTTATTTGACAGAGTCTTTATAATGCAGAAACGGGCAATAAGGTTCTTATGTGGAGCACACAGATTAGTTTCATGCAGACCGCTGTTCTTAAAACAAGAAATATTAACATTAACATCTTTATTTATCTTAGAAACTTGTTGCATGATCCATAAGAACAAGTCGAAATATAAATCGAATACATCCCGTGTAACTCGCCAAACGGGTAACTTGAAGTTGCCTATTCCCAAAACTGAACTAATAAGAGACTCTTTTATATACAATGGTATCAAAATGTACAATAGGCTATCACATACGTTGACAGATGTTGAGTCACAGAATTGTTTTAGAAAGCTGCTCAAGAGATTTCTGTTAACTAGGCCTTATTATAATATTATAGAATTTTATAATGACGAGACACTGTGATATGTGTTTTATTTTGTTTTATTTTATTTTAGATGTATGTATTAATGTTAATTTATAATAAAGTTTGTTTATATTTTAATGACTATTTATTTATTTGTAATTTGTATACTATTTGTACAATATTGTGTTTGTATGACTATTTATTTATTTGTAATTTGTACAATATTGTGTTTGTCAATAAGTATTTTAACTTGGACAATACATATATTCTCTCTCTCTCTCTCTTTTAAAAACACTCTATAATGGCCAGACATGCATAAAAATAAGACTGTTGTAATTTGAGTAGTGTTTAAGTAAATGGATTGTTCACGAGACACAAATCTTGTCCATATAAATTAGTGAACAAGTAAAAGCTCATATAAATTAGTAGTATTAAATATAAATAAATTAAGTTAATAAATAAATTAGGGTCTTAGTGTAAATTAATTAAATAAATAAACATTACTGTTCATTAGAACCATAGAAAATTAGAACCACACTATTCAATAGTGATTTTTATTTTTAATCCATTTTAGAAAGCAGCGAAGGGCACTTTAACTAGAAAAGTTGGAGATTATATGACAGAACACCCTGAAGTGAATGTCAATGGAAACGATGTGGGAGTTCGAAGGGCTGAGACAGAACCGTATGCTTTCTTCATGGAATCTTCCTCTATCGAATACGAAATTCAAAGGCACTGTAGTTTAATGCAGTATGGTGGTCGTTTGGATGAAAAGGGATACGGAATAGCTATGAGAAAATGTAAGTAATAAATCAGTATTTCTATTTTTTTATGGGGTAATGTATGAATATGCCGCTTAGGTCTCTAGAATAAACTACTTGGTTACATTTTACTTAAAAAAAAGTATACCATCTCTATAAATCTATAGGTGAACAATACAGAAATAAAAGTAAAGGTTGGCAATTTGACCTTCAGCTCCACTATAGAGGTACTCTGATAAAACCGACATAACTAATGTACTCGAACGTAAACTCCCAGTATATGTATCAATCAGTACTGACTCTCTGAGGCGGCACGTTTGATCTTTAAAAGTAGAAACTTTAGTTGACCCTTGACGCTTTCATGATATGAAAAGTTTTCTTTACGCGGACATACCTGGTTAGTTGAATTTTTGTTCTGCTGCTTTTCAAATTCGTGTGTATGAGCGAGATGTGAGATACCTTTATAGACAACGGTTAAAGAACTTAATTACTTTAAAGAAGAACATCGATTAGATATCAGGGCAGAACTGTTTTAAAAAAATTTTATGTATGTGATTAAGTGTTAAAAATGTTTGAAATTCGAAACTGAAATATTACTTCTTAGTGAAAAGCTTAATTACTTTTAGTTTAAAATATAACGTTAGTTTGTCAAGGGAAATATACAGGGTGAGTCGGGAGGAGCGTACCAAACTCTAGGAGTATATTATACACGTGAAAATAATGTAAAAAAACTCATATGTTCTTATCCGATTTTCATTTGTTTTCAAGTTATAGCATATTAACAAATAAACAAATTTACACATAAAAGTTATCTTATTCTAAATTTGAATAAGTATCTGGCATTTTGCAACACTAACAATCACATAAATTCGAAATGAAACGTTCAGTTACTGTTCACTGTAAACTGACAGTTCATCAAAACGTCAGAATTATCAAATGTCTTTGAGCCTTAAACATATTGCTGCTTCCAACTTTATTTTTGAGCAAGTCGGAGGTAAAGTGGAAAATATGAATAAAAGAAACCACAGAAATCTAAATCACGATTCTCAGACAAGCTGGTTCTTACGGTAATCCTAATTATTAAGTTTTTGGCTAGATAGAAGTGCTCAATAAGTCTATCTATCTGAATTAGGGCGTGTTTCCAATCCTACTCGTACTGAAGCTCTAGGCTTAGTGTACCCCTCACAGTTTCTACCCCATCAGATGTATTTTCTTGATGAATTCAAGAATATTTTTGATGGGCGCTTTCGTGATTTCTTCAGGTTCCAGATATTGCACCCCGAAGTACCATTCCAGTTCCCATTTGAGGTTCCGTGGCATAGTATGTGAATATGAGTTTCGTTCTCCTGTTTATATATTCTATTTAGGGAGTCATCAGAGATTTAGGTGTCTTCCATAAATAGTCATATTACTGCCTTGTTTTTGCTTCTGCTAAGGTTTAGGTTGATTTTGTCTGCTCGTGGACCCCTCTATGAATCTTTTGAACCGTCTAAGTTCAGGAAGTTCCAACGAGAGCCTACGATGTTATCTATTTATTTGTTCTTTTAACACCCATTTAACATGTTGGTATGAAATACCACATGACGGTTCTGGTCCATTTTTTTCCCCTGGGTTCGTCTGAATATGTCTCCGAATAACACTGAAGCCTATTGGCTTATTTTGTTTTACCCCATGTTAGTTCATAGCATCCACTCTGTCACTTTTGTACCTTGTACAAGTTTGTACAAATCCTTGAGTGAGTGGGTTCTATACGTTGTTGGATTAACCTGGGATTGTCTAAAAAGAGCCTGTCGCGCAGTATGTGTTTGGCCGTTTCTGGTTTCTTGTGACATAGTCGGCACATGAGTTCTCCATTGTACATGCCAATTTTGTTCAAGTGTACCTTTACTGGGGCGTGCCCAGTCATGAACCCTGTTATCACTTTCAACTGGTTTCTATTCCAATTAGAGTTTTTTCTGTTCCTTTCCTAGCTAGGAGGTCTGCATTCTCATTTCCAAACACTCCCTCATGTCCTGAATACTCAGTAAGTCCTTCAGAATTTCAGGGAATGACAGGTTTAATAATTGGACGTCGGTGACAAGTCTAAGGTATGGTTAGGATATTTTTCATTTGGGATTTCGGGAAAGGGGTCGGTAGTTTTGATGCCAAGAGTTTATTGACCGAATTTATTGGAAAAACGTGTTGATTCCTGATTTGGAAACAGGCTGATATGAGTTTTTTTCTAGTGTTTTCGTAGACTTGTCTACTAGGAAAATGAAAAGGTAGATATTGGCATCGTCGGAATATGGATCTCTCTAGTGTGGTAAGTTTGTTGGCTAGATGAGGGGGAAATGTGCCGTATATTTGCTCTGTATTTAGCTAACGGACGGATGTATGCATTATAGGTATAAATGAATGTTTTTGGGTTGCAACGGTCAAAACAATCTCATAGAGCTTCGAGGAATCCTATCAAGGATGCTTTTTACATCAGAGGACCAATTGGAGTTCACTTCTAAGACAGCGTCCTGAGTGAAGTGATGGGGTTTAAAACTATGTAGGGATTGAGGTTTAATGTTTCGTTCTTTATAAAATTCCCAGATTATCTCTTAAGGTTTCTAACGCTTTATTTATAATTTCATTTTAATTTTTATTTTAACATTAACTTTCCTTTTAGACCTGATGATGACTTTTGGGTCGTTTTATAGTATACTACTAAAGTTTATGTGGTACATATTTTGGTTATTATTTTAATTTATTTAATGGTTTACAAAATAGAGGTTTGGCCATATTTCTTAAAAATTACTCTAATCTAAAACTTTTCTAGTATATTGTAGAAATTTATTCTATACGTTATTTAGTTACTGCAAAATCTATAGGAAAGAATGTAGTCTAAAATATAAAAATTTATAATGGAGACATATTTAAAAATATATACTCAAAAATATATATTGACTTATTTTGGTGAATGAGTTCAAGTATGGCAGACGAAAATCGTTAATTTTTATTAAGAATTAATTTGAATTTGTTTAAAAATCTGAACTATATGTAGGTATATGGTTTTCGTAGTTTTTACACTTGTAATAAAAATATCAGTTATGTATATTCGCCATTTACTACACACAGCAAATTCATAGAGACAATACATATCACTATTTGACAATCTTATTAAACTTACTAATTTAAAATTGACTTTAAACTAAGTGACTACACACAGAATTGTTTGAAAGGAGACATAAGGTATAATTTATTTATTGGATACTATAAAAAAATAATAATAGTTACATGTAGAGTTAAGTAACAAGAAATTTAAAAACAAAAACAAAACAAACCTTTATATCTAGTGAACTTAATTTATTAAATTAAATTGTGTTCTAACATCTGAGGCATGACCGACGTAATCGCAGACGCTATTCTTTTTCTTAAATCAGCTAAATCACGTATTTTAGTTTTTGTATATCTTATTTTCACATATCGGCATAATAAAATAATTAAAGTCCGTTCATGCTTTTATAATTGTTTTTATTACAACTGACTCCTTGACATTCCATTTAGGTGTGCCTGATGATGAAGTGACAACTTCGAAACCGGTCGCCAATAAATTGACTTGTGATAAATAAAGGACCTTTTCTTTAACCTTTACACTTAATAAAATACCTAATGGCGTAAGATCCGGTGATCGTGGTGGCCGTTCTATCGATTCTTGACTCCTTATTGACCAATTTGTAAATATTTGGTCCAGGTACTGGTGGACATTGTTTTGGTAATCTGATTGTTATCCATCCTGCTGGAACCATATCACATTTGCTGGAACTGGATTTGCTTGACCAGAATATAAATTTGCCAAAGTTGGCAATACATTATTTTAGAGTAGTGTTAAATAATTATCTTCTTTAAATTGCATTCAATGAAAAGGGGATCAAGGTCATGGTTTTCAACTATTACTGCACAAACATTAACCTTTTTAGGGTTTTGTGTGTTGTTTTCTTACCCAGTAAGGATTTTCATAAGACCGTAATAGCGAGAATTTTGAAGATTGATATGCTGTAGAGTTTAGAAGTGCATTTATCAAAAAATACAAGATGTTCTAGTTGGATGACAATGTTATCAAACATTTTCATCATTTGCTCGCAAAAAAGGGTTATTTTATCAAAATTGTCTTCCATGAATAGGTATTGTAACGATTGTTTATTTAAAAATAGTTATTTATTTAAAATGGTTTATTTATAATTTATTTACACTGTGTACTAATTAATTTATTTAATACTTAAGTACTATTATAATTCACACTTCTAAATTATTTTTCAATTATTTACTTTTATTTGACAACATTTATATTGAAACTTAAACTTCTATCGACAAAGTCCCGCTATTTATATAAAATTGTAACAACCTAGAAAACTCCGATTCTGGGTAGAAGCTCCATGCTAGTCTGCAAGTTCACGTAAATACGTCTTCCACGCGTCCAAGAGCGTACAAGAAACATTCTAGTTTATTTCTCGAGTCTTCGAGGTGGACGGGCAGCGATGGCAAACGCCAGACTCTACGTCGCGGTAAAAGTAAATAAAAAACAGGATCGGTTTCAGGCGATCACAGGACCCCAGATAGCACAAATACGTCTTATGGACGTTCTAAAAACGTCCTGCTTCGACATTCAGGACATCCTTAAAACGTCCATTTCACGGAAACAAGTCGAAATTCTGACATACAACTCAAAATTACGACATACAACTCTGAATTCCGCGATACGAAACGAAATTAGAGATATTAAATTTTATCGAAATTTATGACCTCACTTTAGGCTTCCGTTACTCCTTAGGGGTACAACTTAGTATAGAGACTTTTTTTGTTAGTGTGCATTGCACCTACATATCTATATTTCAGTCAACGAGCAATTTGTCTTTATCATAAACTTAAGTAAACTTAAGAGGCTTAAATCTACTAAGAGTTCATCCAATGATATATTCCCCTTTCTGTTCTGATAACTATATACTGCACACGTGCACTGTGCTCTTCTTTAACATACTTTCAAATGGTTTTGTCCTTCTGAGCCTTCTCATGAT